TTCGAAAGTTCGAAAATACGATTCGGATTGCAGCATACTATTTCTACGATTCGTAGCAAAATCCGAATACGAAAGAGTTACAGAATAGGGGTGAGAGTTTGTATGAAGTAGAGAAAGAAGAAAGTATTTATATAAATAACTAGAAGTTTTTAACCAAGGATCGAAATATACTCAGCGCTGCATTTCCAAATTGTACCAAAAAGGTCTATGTGGTAGTGGTGGCAAACTATCGATGGCACTATCGATAGGATCGATGGGACATCTGGGACATCACTATCGCAACTTTCGATGGCGACCACTATCGGCCATATTTGAAGTTTGATACTATCGAGGAATTGCCATATCTATGTATGATTTTTATGCACCATAATACTAGATATCGCGTTTCAAACGCGTTTGTGTGAAATATTTTATAAGTAATACTCGTACGGATAGTGTAAATAAGGACAAATATCTAACTCATAATGTAAAGGGTAACGTGTTTTTTATAGATATGTTTATATTGCACTTGTTTCATTATATGTAATAGCTTTCTTTTTGTGTTCTTCCGAAAGTGAAGAAGAACGTGACGGCAAAAGAGCAAAGCCCAAAATATCTTCGGTATATTTGAATATTTTTCTTTTGTTTCTTTAAAGCTTATTAAATTTTTATAAAAGCCCAGATTACCGTCTAGCGAAAACCATGTAAAGATAAATTTCAAACTTTGTGCAACAATTTATAAAATGCCTCACAGTTTCACCGAAATTTCACACTTTGGAATCAGAATTTTGAGAAAAATGTTTGGTGTGCAATTTTATAGTCCATTAGATTTTAGTATAATAAACAGTGTCACGCGTTTTCTTCGTTTCATTCGTTTTTTAAGTGGAAGTAAACGCGTGACACTGTTAGCAAAAAAATTTTCAAAAATCANTCCATTAGATTTTAGTATAATAAACAGTGTCACGCGTTTTCTTCGTTTCATTCGTTTTTTAAGTGGAAGTAAACGCGTGACATTGTTAGCAAAAAAATTTTCAAAAATCAACGAGATTCTTTAGCAACTTGAAACCTGCAATTTATTATATTATTTTTATTTAAAGAAATTAGTTAATATTACCTTCAAACGTAAAATTTACATGCCATTTTGTTACACTCAAATTAAAAAAAATCGTTCANTAACGTGTTTTTTATAGATATGTTTATATTGCACTTGTTTCATTATATGTAATAGCTTTCTTTTTGTGTTCTTCCGAAAGTGAAGAAGAACGTGACGGCAAAAGAGCAAAGCCCAAAATATCTTCGGTATATTTGAATATTTTTCTTTTGTTTCTTTAAAGCTTATTAAATTTTTATAAAAGCCCAGATTACCGTCTAGCGAAAACCATGTAAAGCCAAATTTCAAACTTTGTGCAACAATTCATAAAATGCCTCACAGTTTCACCGAAATTTCACACTTTGGAATCAGAATTTTGAGAAAAATGTTTGGTGTGCAATTTTATAGTCCATTAGATTTTAGTATAATAAACAGTGTCACGCGTTTTCTTCGTTTCATTCGTTTTTTAAGTGGAAGTAAACGCGTGACACTGTTAGCAAAAAAATTTTCAAAAATCAACGAGATTCTTTAGCAACTTGAAACCTGCAATTTATTATATTATTTTTACTTAAAGAAATTAGTTAATATTACCTTCAAACGTAAAATTTACATGCCATTTTGTTACACTCAAATTAAAAAAATTCGTTCGCACTATCGAGACTATCAATGGCAGCGCACTATCGAAAAAAATGACTATCGGCACAATCGATAGTGACCGAAAAAAGTATCATCAACTATCGATAGTCTTCACTATCGATAGTTTGCCACCACTACTATGTGGTGTCAATGTGCTTTCTGGTTTTAAATTGTACGAAAAAAGCACAATTGTGGCAACTTTATCATCACTGCCACATAATCAGATATCCTGATAACCAGGCGAGTGTGAACAACCTCTATTTATTTTATAAAAATCAAGTTTTCGGCTCATAAATTTTTATAAATATAAACCTGAGAAATTTAGCGTTATTATATAGTAAAATATCGTGGAATTTGTATCTTTCGAGAATACCAATACATGGGAGGTCAGCGTGAAAATTGTCCGTTGTCAAAAAGTTGCAAAGAATTTTTGAATGTGGTTAACAGTAATGAATGTACTAGGTTTGGAAGAAATCGGTTAGGCGCGTACATAATTCATGATAAGTGGATTTGACCACGACCATTTAAAAAAACTTATTAAATACCAAAATTTGTGTTTATAGTTCACTCTATATGGGGCGTTCTATACCAAAACGGACGGGGTTCACACTTTATGTGTTTGATTTGTTTCAAATTTTTAGGGTTGATGCACAAACATAAATAATAAATAAATATGAAATTTGAGCTTGATTAATACGTTTTTAAAAACTTCACAGCATAAAACCAAAACAAATAGATTTAATAGTTTTCCAAATATCTCGAGAACGAGGTGAGGAAAAAAATTGAAAAAAAAATCACACATACACACATTATAAATCTCTATGAAAATATATATAAAAAAATTTTTTACATACAAATTTTTTGTTAAAAAAATAGTTTTTGAAAATATGCCTAAAAAAAGTGAAAAAAGTTATAATTAGCATTGCGCAATATTTAAATATAGTATTATGGGGTGCACTCTACAATACTATGGGCTGTGCATTTTTTTTACACCGAAGTTGAATAAAATGAGTATACTACAAACTTACAAATTTTTAAATTTTTTTTTGTAATTTTTTTGAGTATGCATTGTTGTAGCGCATTAAATTTTAGTACAACGAGGTATTTAAGCTATTGCGTTAATTTTAAATATTTTTTATGCTGGCGCTTTTTGGACTTTTTTCTTATGGAAGAAAATGCGCAAACCCGTTTTGAAAGACAATTTAAAAAAATTAACGACCATTTTGCAATCGCTTAAAATTTGCACTTAAGTATACTAAAATTTAATATTTTTAATTTAATTTAATAATTTGTAAATTTGTGATGTACTCATTTTACTCAACTTAAGTGTAAAAAAATGCATAACTCAAATTATTGCAGAGTAATACATAATACTGTACTTAAATATTTCGCAATACTCAGAGCTATCATTGTGCCTTTTTTTTGTGATGGCATATTTTCAAACACTAATTTTTAATCAAAAAATTTGTATGTGAAAAATTTTCCAAGAAAAATAAATTTTAAAAATATTTATTTTGATAAAGAATTTTGGTGTGTGTATGTGTGATTTTTTTTTCAAATATTTATCTCGCCCCGTTCTCAAGATATATGGGAAACTATTAAGACGATTTGTAAAGTTTTTAAAAGGGCTTTAATCAAGCTCCAATTTCATATTTATTTATTATTTATGTTTGTGCATCAATCCTAAAAAAAATTTAAACAAACCAAACACATGAATTGTTTTAGTATGGAACGCCCCATATATAAATTTTTATTAATTTGGCAGCAGTAGTTACTTAAATGTCGCAGTTTTCATTTCAAAAATACCGTTATATGGAAGGCAAGTGCAGATTTGATCCGATTTTACCCATTTTCAATACCAACCTAGCCTAGGCAAAGGGTAACAAGTGTAGAATTTTACTGCGAAATGTCATTTAGTTTCCGAGAAAACGAGTTTTGACCGTTGCTCCATAAAAGCTGAACCACTGTGCAATGTAGGATAACAATAAGGGTATCATATAAAAGAAAAAATTCTGTAGAATTATGACAGAATACATTTTTTATGCATGAGTACGAATGGGTATAGAAAGTGTCCTTTAAAAATGTTGTCCTAAATAGCCTTCTTTAATCTGATGTTGGAGAAGATAATAAGGGCTGCAGAACTGAACCGCTCAGGAAAAATTTACTACAAGAGCGTGTAATTGCTGGCTTATGCCGATGACATCGACATCATCGGTAACAAAAACCGCGAAGTCTGTTCTGCCTTTTCCAAGTTGGATAGGGAAGCAAAGCGCATGGGTCTGGTGGTAAACGAGGACAAGACGAAGTATCTCCTGTCATCAAACAAACAGTCAGCACATTCGCGCCTTGGCACCCACGTCACTGTTGACAGTTACAATTTCGAGAAAGTAGAGAATTTCGTTTACTTGGGAACCAGCATTAACACCGATAATAATGTCAGCATTGAAATCCAACGTAGAATCACTCTTGCCAACAAGTGCTACTTTGGACTGAGTAGGCAATTCAGGAGTAAAGTCCTCTCTCGACGTACGAAAACCGCGCTCTATAAGTCACTCATCATGCCCGTGCTGGTATATGGCGCAGAAGCATGGACAATGACAACATCCGATGAGGCGGCTCTTGGGGTGTTTGAGAGAAAGATTTTGCGGAAGATTTACGGTCCTTTACGCGTTGGCGACGGCGAGTACCGCAGACGATGGAACGATGAGCTGTATGAGCTTTACAACGATATGGACATAGTGCAGCGAATTAAAATACAGCGGCTCCGCTGGCTTGGTCATGTCGTTCGAATGGACACCGACGCTCCAGCTCTGAAAGTATTCAACTCGGAACCCGCTGGTGGTAGCAGAGGAAGAGGGAGGCCCCCACTGCGATGGAAAGATCAGGTGGAGAAGGACTTGGCTTCACTTGGCGTTTCCAATTGGCGTCAGTTGGCACAGAGGAGAAACGACTGGCGTGCTTTGCTGAACTCGGCCAAAATCGCTTAGGCGGTTACAGCGCCAAAAAAGAAGAAGAAGAAGAAATAGCCTTGAAAATTTTCAATATATTTTTTTTTTGTTTTAGGACTAATATACGCACGACCTCATCATCTAAATTCGTCCTGCAAACTATATTAACTAAAAATGAGTAAAGTTATTAAAAGCGCATTTTCAATACTTATTCGTCCCTGTAAACCAAAAAATTTTAATGTTTTTTAAACTCTACCGAATTTCCCCCCTCATTTGATATAGTTACGCCACTGCAACAATGTGATGCAGGTTGGCGCTGCAATTACAATGAACATAGCTATATGTACTTACTCTAATCTCCCCTCGATTTGAGAGTGAAAATATCTAAATGCTGCTGTTGCATGTTCATTCAAAACGGACGGATCAATAGAGCTAACGAAATCATTGATGAAATTGTTAGATGCGCTTTTGTAAATTAGTCGGTTCTTTAGCATATTTTCCAATCCAAGGAATATAGGTAACCACTCATAGTAGCTTATATGTTGATATTGTGCAATATTTATTTTACGTGCCTCCTGAAATAGTGTCCGATCGTTGTAATGCGGATTCAGTTTAGCCAAAGTATCAGCGATGCGATTGTGCTCTCGCAGTAAAATGGTATGTAAAATGGCTAATCCGGGATTCTGATTTACCCGAATGTCACCAGCTTGATAGCACACCTCACCGGCCGGGGCGGCATCGCAATCACCAGTGGCATTTCGGGATGGGGGAAGGTATTCACCCCCACTTCGTTGATCCACTAACATTCGGCCGCCCTCAAAAGACCGTATCTCACTATTTTGCTGTATAGAATTTCCGTAAACAAGTGAGAGATCGGCATAAGATGATACAGCACTCAATTGCTCTGCTGGACCATTATTATATAAACAATTAATGTCACGGTCTGTTAGAGTTCGCACAAAGTCTAGGCATTCTGTACCCACTTGGGAGTAGGCGGGATCGTTAGGTGGTATCACAATAGGATAACATGTTGAATGTGCTTCATTCGTGGCAATAAGGCGACCTTCATCAGTACAGCAACGTGTTGGATGTTTCCCTTATTGATTGTAAAACGAATAGTTTGAAGCAACGAACTATTTATGATAACATTCTTAATAGGCTCAATACTTACTGGCTTGGGTTCCACCAGCCTGCATGCTCATGTCATGTGTTAATATTTGACCCCACTGCATGTTGACTAATGTAAATTGTGGATCCGGAACATCCAGTTCCCCAAAAACGACTAGTGAAATAAGTCTTGCATTCGGCAACTCTTCGCCTGTTATTGATCGAGACGGCGACGAAATGCCATCCCCGTACTTCGATGATAGCAAGCGTCCGTATCTAGAAAAATATAATAGCTATTAGAGATTGAAATATGCATTTATACGGGTGACTTCCAAACAAATTGCTATATTTGCTATTGCTAATCAAAGCGATTTCATACCAGGTGGTGTTAATTGAACAGCTGATTTGATTTTTTTTATTCGCCTTACATCAAGAATTTTTTCATTACAAATTGCGAATCTAACAATAATTATGAAAATTCTAAAAACTAAAAGTTTGTGATTTTCTTTGCCACTGCTTGGAAATCGTTTATTTTTTCAAATTAAATATATTGAGTGCAAAATTACAATTGGTGAAATATATCGCTCGTGCTAGTACACTGAGGGAAAAAAATTTTAGAATTAAAAAAAAAACGTGCTAAATTTATAAAAATACGCATATGAAAGAGCACCAACCCAACTCGTTTTAAATTTGAGTATGTACGTTATAAAATATGTCGTTGCGAAGTGCACAGATGCTTTTTCGTTATACGAAATAAAAATTAAGAAGAAAAAAATTGAATTTTATTTTCCGTCTGATGGTAATTATACCCGGACGCTCTTGGCAGCAACCAATTGTATCAAGCGTCGTTGCACACTCAGCTACAGCCATACATGTAAATGTGTTTTCAAATGTTGAGTTTGAATCAACATCACAGCGCGCGATTAGTGCATGATGTCGTACCATGTATGTACATATGTATGTATGTATGTGTTGTCACCGCTTTGCAT